CCGTCCATATACCCCTGTTTGCCTTCACTGACAACTCAGTACTGTATATGCAAAAGGGTTCATATTTGTTGTCTGTACTTCCCATGTACCTCTCTATGCCTTTCTCATCCTCAGTGGTGCCATATTGGTGCAAAAGACCTCTTTCAAGTGCTGAAGAGCAAAGATGTGTCTTTGAAGACTAAGGTGCACCTAACCCAAGCCATGGTATTTTCAATCGCCTCATATGCCTGTGAAAGCTGGACAATGAATAAAGAAGATTAAAGATTGATGCTTTTGAGTTGTGGTGTTGGCGAAGAATGCTGAAAGTACCATGGACTGCCAGAAGAATTAACAAATCTGCCCTGGAAGAAGTGCAGCCGGAATGCTCCTTGGAAGAGTGAATAGCCAGACTTTGTCTTACCTAATTTGGTCATGTTATCAGAAGGGACCACACCCTGGAGAAGGATATCATGCTTGGTAAAGTGGAGGGTCAACAAAAAAGAGGAAGACCCTCGATGAGATGGATCGGCACAATGCCTACAACAATGGGCTCAAGTATAGCAAGGATCGTGAGGCTGGCACAGGACTGGGCAGTGTTTCGTTCTGTTGTGCATGGGGTCACTATGAGTTGGTGCTGACTCATCGGCACTGAACAATGACAACAACATCATTAGTATCACATGGACGGACACAGTGGCTGCAACGATGGGTTCAGGTACAACAAAGATTGTGAGGCTGGTGCAGGCCTGGGCAGTGTTTTATCCTGTTGTATGTGGGATTGCTGTGAGTGGACATTGACTCAATGACACCCAACCACAACATGTACCTATAGGAGCCCTAGCGGCTCAGTGGTTAAAACATTCGGCTGCTAACGAAAAGGTTGGCAATTTGAACCCACTAGCTGCTCTGTGGGAGAAAGATGAGGTAGTCTGTTTCCATAAAGACTGATAGCCTTGGAAACGCTCTGGGCTGCTCTACTCTGTCCTAAAGGGTTGCTGTGAGTTGGAAACGACTTGATGGCAGTTGAGTATGTAACTATGGGGGGAAACGTGCAATTAACCAGGAAGCAGTTGTCACATTGTGTAAGTAAAAGTGTGGCTCTGACAGCTCAGGGCATAGAGCTACAGAATTACAGAGAGAAACCGATGATGCCAAGTCACATTGGGAGGTTTTTAACATCATCTTTCACTAATTGTACAAGTAGACAGAAAGAAGGAATAAAAGACCAAAAGCACAATTAACAAGATAGGGTGAGCATGTAACCAATCCTTCAAAGAGTGAAAGGGGCCGTCCTTCAGATTTCCGTGGGATCAAATCCTCCTGGAGTCTAGACTTGCTGGAGCCATGGAGGGTGGGTCAACCCCTGAAGTGACTGCCCTGGGGCCATCCTTACACCTTAAACTGGAACATGCCCTGCAGTCTTCTTAAAGCCAAACCAGAGTTTAGCTTAACGAGCAAGAAATGTCTGCCTCGCAACTGATGCTCTTTTAGGAGCCATCTGTATGGGACAACAGCAGGGGAATGACCAGACGGGAAGCCTGGGGCAGTGAGTTTATGTTCCTGGGGGACAGTGCAGCAAAGCAGGTGAGAGCAGTCATGGGACGCAAAGAACATCACCAGTGTCACCGAACCATACAGGTGACAGCCGCTCACTGGGTGTATGTGGCTGTGCATGTGCTCAACACCAACAAGAAAATAAATCCGATTTAGAAGAAAGAAAAGAATGATGCTGGGAAAGCGTCAACCAGGACTGTGTCTGTCTGTCTCTCCCTCTCCTGTACCTCCATCCCAGTCTATATAACTCAGCCCCCTAAAAACTAAACAACACTGGGGGCAGCTTCGAGGCAAGGGATTTTGTCACCCACAAGGCACTTGGAGGCTTTCCAGAAAGGCCACCGGTGCCGCAGATACCTGCACATCTTAGTCACCCTGAGGGATAATACACTGGGTGATTCCATCCAGCCTACACACTCACCCAAAAGTAAAAGAAATAAGAAAAAAGAAAATTCTCTCACTGAGTAGGATTTCAGGACCCGTGCAGGGAAGGTCACTTCATCCAAAATGTTGGTTCTGTCCGCAGTGGAAGCCTACGAGGAGACAGGCATCAGGACATGAGTGACAAGGAGCTCACCTCTGGCCAAGGAGGGGCACACCATGTCACAGTCCCCTGCTGGGGCCAGTGACTGCCATAGGTGGGGTGCACTGGCCCTGGGCCCTCACACAGGTGGCTCTGAAGCCAACCGTCTCCAAGCTGCTGGCAAGTGTGCAAACTTAGAGCAGAGATTCTAACAGGCATTTCCTCCCTGCCTAGGGAAACATGTCTCACTTACCTGGTGACACTTAGCAGCCTCTGCATGTGACACTGTCCAGAGCGGCTAATAGTGGGGAGGAGCATGCGGAGCTGTCACCACATGGATAAAGTGGCTGCAGCAGCTCCGGTCTTTGCCACCCAGCACGCTGGGGTCACCCACCCCACACCAGGGCAGCCCCAGGCACAGGGCCACCATCAGAGACAGACACTCTGGTGGGTCGGGCAGCACGGCCTGCATGGTGCCTGCAGGCGGTGCCTGCGGGTGGCCTGGGCAGCCCACCTTCCTCGTGCACTGCTCCCCGCTGACCCGCGCCGAGACGACCACAGTGGCGGCCACCAGGAGCTCCATGAGGAGCAGCAGCCCCAGGTTGAAGCTGATCTGCAACAGAGCAACGAAAACAAAGGCTGCAGTCATGCAGCGCCAGTAAGCTAGTCACCGGATTCCCCAGGACAATCTCGGGACAGCCCTGGCTGCCGACCCCCAGCTGGAGCAGCAAGACTTGGCCGACCCTGCCCCCATTTGGTTTGCTGTCTGTCTGTCTGTCTGAACCCATTCTCAGCACACAGCTGTACACAACCAGGCCACGTCGGGCTGGAGCTCCCCCGCTCCAAGGTACCACCCCTGCTCCCACTTAGTGGCCAAGTCGAGGCACCAGGTAGACAAGCTGACCTTGGCACCTCTCAAGCCCCTCCACCATGCTGCCTGACAGAGCCCTCTGTCTGTCACAGCACAAGCTGGGCCAGGGGAGGAGCAGGAGGGAGGAGTGAGCTGGGCAACAGACAACAGTGGCTGAGGGTGGAGTGAGAGCAGGGCCAGGCTTCCTGCCAGGACGAAGCCCAGGCACTGTGAGTACAGCACTGTATGTGTGTGTGTCTGTGTGTGTCTGTGTGGGGCCCAGGGTGAAGGCTCTACGGGATGCGACAGCAAACACCCCAACCCAGGCTCAAACCTTCAACTCCAGGCCTTCACTATGGATACACTCTCCTATCCCCATAGTGAGCCTCCTCCCTCTAAATGTGGATCTTCCTCCAATTGCTACACTCACTCCTGCTAAATCCCTTCACTTTAAAGACTAGGGTGCCTCTAACCCAAGCCACAGGTATTTCAATCACCTCATACGCATATGAAGGCTGGACAATGAATAAAGAAGACCGAAGAAGAGTTGATACCTTTGAATTGTGGTGCTGGTGAAGAATACTGAAAATACCACAGACCACAAATTGATAGAGGAATAAACAAATCTGTCTTGGAAGAAGTGCAGACGGAATGTTCCTTGGAAGCAAGAATGGCCAGACTTCATCACATCTCAAGTATTGATTTGGGTGAAGGGAAGGGCAATTAAAAAAAAAAAAAAATTCGTCTCACCTACTGTGGTCATGTTTTCAGAAGGGACCATTCCCTGGAGAAGGATATCATGCTTGGTGAAGTGGAGGGTCAGCGAAAAGGGGAAGGCCCTCAATGAGATGAAATGACACAGTGGCTGCAACGACGGGCTCAAGGATAGCAAGGATTGTGAAGTTGGTGAAGGACCATGCGGTGTTTTGTTCTGTTGCACAGAGGTTCCCTATGAGTCAGAGCCAACTCGACAGCATTTAACAACAACATACAAAAAAAAAAAAAAAAACCCTCAAAATGGATCATGTACCTAAATGTAAAATGTAAAACTTTTTGAAGAAAACATAGGAGATACATTTTTATGGCCTGGGGTTGGGCAAAATTGACAATGGACTTCATCAAAATTTAAAATTTTTGTTCTGCAAATGATACTGTTAAGGAAATGAAAAGGAAAGCTACTGACTGGGAGAAAACATTTACAAATCATGTATCTGATTAAACAAACTTGTACCCAGTATTTATAAAGAACTCTCAAAACTCCACAGTTAGAAAACAAGCGATCCAATACAAAAATGAGCAAAAGACTCAAACAGACACTTCTCCAAGTGGATGCATGGTTGTCAGATATGCACATGAGGATAAACGCAGCATAATTAACCATTATTCCAAAAAAATTAAAAAAAAAAAAAAAAAACCACTGCCATCAGGTGGATTTCAACTCACAGCAACCCCTCATCGGGTTTCCAAGGCAATAAATCTTTACAGAAGTAGATTGCTCCATCTTCCTTCCGTGCTGGTGGGTTTGAACCACCGACCTTCAGATTAGCAGTCAAATGCCTTAGGCACTGAATCACCAGAGCTCTTTAATTAACCAAAAAAAAAAAACAGCCATCGAGTCAATTATGACCCATAGCAACCCTACAGGACAGAGTAGAACTCCCCTACAAGGTTTCCAAGGCTATAAATCTTTAAAGCACAGACTGCTATATCTTTCTCTTGTGGAGCTGCTAGTGGATTCAAAGTACCAAGCTTCTGGTTAGCAGCCAAGTGCTTTAACCACTGTACCACTAGGGCTTGTCTAACCATTATAGAAATGCAAATCAAAATCTCAATGAGATACCACTACTATTGTTTTTGTATGCTCTAAGTCAATTCTGACTCATAGCAGCCCCACAGGACAGAGTAGAATTGTCCTATATTACATACCTATTTAAATGGCTAAAATTAAAAAAGCGACAATATCAAGTCCTGACAAGGATGTGGAGCAACTAGACCTCTGATATGTTGCTGATGGGAAGGCAAAATGGTACAGTCACTCTAGAAAAGTGTTTGGCCATTTCATAAAGTTAAACATACACTTTTGACCCCTAGCAATCCCACTCGTAGGTATTTATCCTGGAAAAATAAAAACTTCGGTTCATATAAAAACCTGTACACAAGTGTCTATAGGAGTTTTATGCATAATTTCAAAAACATGAGGGAGTTTTGAGGTGATGGAACTATTCTGTATTCTGATCTCCTGGTGGTCACACAAATCTATAAATGTGTTGATATTCATAGATCTAGACAATAAACAGCCAACTGTAAGATAATTTTAAAAATTAAATCTAGAAAGGAAAGAATATAGAACCATATGCAACTACCAATATAGCCTCAAAATAGCTGAAGTAACAACTAACAGAACTGTAGGAATAAATAGATCAACCAACAGTTACAGGTGAACTTCTCTTCTCCCAAACACTCATAGATCAGAAAGACAAACAGGTGGAGAACTATGAAATAAGAAATAATGTTGGAGCTACAGAACTGTAATTGCAAAATAAAACAAAGAACATTCATGGTGGATAGCATTTGGAAAACAAAGAAGTTAATCATTGCTTAGGCCACAAAGCAAGCCTTAGTTAATTCCAAAGAATCAATACACTGGAGATTGTGTATTCTGATCACAATGCAATAAAATCAGAAATCAATAACAAAAGGATATTAAAAAAAAAAAAATTCCCAGTGTCCCTCTCTGATGTATCGGGGTACTGGCAAGAAACAGATGGCAACTTCCCAAGGCCTGACTGAAGAAAGTTTAATGAGAGTATATCACCAAAGTTTGGGTAGAGATGCCAGCATGATCTAAAGATAACAAGCCATATCAGGGACAGCTGTGTTAATAAATGTTACAGCCAGATGATTGCTGGACTGGACCACACTCCATTCTGTCACACACAAGGTATGGTACTAGGGATCAGAATTGACTCAAGTACCTAAGGTCACTAGGAATTGGAATTGACGCAATAGCACCTAACAACAGCAGCAGCAGCAGAGTTTTGATAAAATCAGAATTTTTGATGAAAATATAAAAAGGCAAAATTTGACACAAGAAGAAACAGAACACTTCAATAGAAGCAAAAGACCTCTCCTCCCCTAAAACCCTAGACTGAGATAATGTTACAGGTGAGTTCCAGCAAACAGTCTGTTCTTATCTGCCAAGTTTTTCCTGAAAACATGAGAGAAACAAGAGCTACCTTGTTCATTTTAGGAAGCCACTATAATCTTGCTTCCAAAACCAGACAAAGGAAACAGACCTATGCAGGCCTACATAGTCCCATTTCCTTGATGAACCATGACGCAAAGATCCTATGCAAAACTAGCTAGCCAACTCCATCAGAATATTAAAAATACTACCATGTGATCAAGCAAGGCTCATCCCTGGCAGGAAAGAAAGGTTCAGCACTAGAAAAAGTTATCAATGCAATCCACCACCCTAAGAAACGATATGAGAAAATTATCTGATCCCAACATATGCAAAAAAGAAACTACCAATGATCAACACATAGTTATGCGCCTGAAAGAAAAAACTCAGAGCAAACCAGGCCTACAACAGATATTTTTAACTTGGTGAAAGTTATTTATCAAAACATAATGGGGACTCTTTAAGGGGCTGTTTATGCACTGGAAGACAGCTCAGGGGTCAGGGGTGCATGGCGGGAGGGACACAGGGAAGAAGTGGCTGTCGGGAGGAAGTGGGAGGGGAGCTGTTGCATTGTGGTGAATTGTGGTCAATGTCATGAGACAAAGTGTATGTGAGCTGCTGTATGGAAAGTGAATTTGCTCTGTAAATTCTCACCCAAATCACACACACACACAAAAAAAATGGGGACTCTTTAGACACATTGCGTTTAATATAGGACGAAGCCAGGATACCAATTACCCTATGCCTGTTGAACATAGAACTGGAAGTCCTGGCCAGAGCTATAGAGAAAAACAAACGAGAGGGATGAAGATTGAAATGAAAATGCTTCAACTGGTATTATGTGAAAGTAACAGGATCACCTGCACAGAAAACCAGAGTAAGCCACAGAAAAGCTAGAAGAGCTAGTAACAGAGTTCACAAAAGTTGCCAGACACAAAATATACTGTTAAAAATCAATTTTGAAAAACTGAAGTTCTGATAGGTCTGGACCTGAGTTAACCTGCTGCTGTTGTTGTTAGGTGCCGTCAAGTGGGCTCCAACACATGTGACCCTGTGTACAATAGGACGAAACTCTGCCTGCTTCTGGGCCAGCCTCACAATCCCTGCTGTACCTGAGCCCACTGTTGCAGCCACGGTGTCAGTCCATCTCACTGAGGGTCTTCCTCTCTCTCACTGATCCTCCACCTCACCAAGCATGACATCCTTCTCCAGGGAATGGTCCCTTCTGACAACATGACCAAAATAGGTGAGACGAAGTCTGGCCATTCTTGCTTCCAAGGAGCATTCCAGCTGTATTTCTTCCAGGACAGATTTGTTCGTTCTTCTAGCAGTCCATGGTACTTACAGTATTCTTCGCCAGCATCACAACTCAAAAGCATCAACTTTTCTTCAGTCTTCCTTACTCATTGTCTAGGTCTCACATGCATATGATGTGATTGAAAACACTATGACTTGAGTTAGGTGCACCTTAGTCTTCAAAGAGACATCTTTGCTCTTCAGCACTTGAAAAGGGTCTTTTGCAGCAGATTTGCCCAGTGCAATACGTCGTCTGATTTCTTGACTGCTGCTTCCACGGATGTTGATTGTGGATTCAAGTGATATGAAATCTTTGACAACTTCAATCTTTTCTCCATTTATCATGATTCTGCTTATTGGTCCATTATGAGGATTTTCATTTTCTTTGGGTTGAGGTGTAATCCATACTACAGACTGTAGTCTTTAATCTTCATTAGTAAGTGCTTCAAGTCATCTTCACTTCCAGCAAGCAAGGCTGTGTCATCTGCATATCACGGATTGTTAATGAGTCTTCCTCCAGTCCTCATGCCTTGTTCTTCTTCATATGGTCCGGCTTCTTGGATTATTTGCTCAGCATGCGGATTGAGTAAGTATGGTGAAAGGATACAACCCTGATGCACACCATACCTGATTTTAAACCATGCAGTATGTGGTAGTTAAGGTTGTATGTCAACTTGGCTGGGCCTGGTTGAGTGGCTGGGCAGCTGGAGGTAGTTATTCCCCATGACGAGACTGGCAATCAACTCCATGGTGCAATCTGCTGCAAGCAGCTGAGTAGCTGCTTTAGGGATGTGGTCTTCTTCCCAGAGATAAGCAGCAGCTTTGGTATTGGTGTCTAGACTTTTGGCATGTTTGAACCCTGCTTATAGCCAAGTTGTGTTGTTATTGAACAGCATGCCATGCCCTGCCAATCTTGGGACTTCATCTGAACTTGAATCAATGACCTCCCATGTTGTCTGGCAACATTGAGACTGTGACTTTTACTTGTCAACTTTGGGCTTGTCAGCCTCAGCAGCCAGAAGCTGAGTGAAGAAAAGCCTCCAGCTTCAGTGAGCCAGGAGCAGGAGGCAGAGCTGACGCCCAAGGTTGAAGGGCTTTCACCCCGCCCCTAGAGCCTGGCACTTTGAACTCAGATTTAAAGCCTCCAAAATTGTAAGAGAATGAACTGTTTGTTCAAGCCATTCCATTTGTGGTATATTCCTGTCAGAGTGGCAGTAGGGAACCAAAACACAGTATCCCCTTGCTCTGTTTGAACAACAGCCTCCTGGACTATGTATAGGTTCCTCATGAGTACAATTAAGTGTTCTGGAATTCCCATCCTTCTCAATGTTATCCATAATTTGTTATGATCCACACAATCTAATGCTTTTGCATAGTCAATAAAATACAAGTAAACATTTTTCTGGTATTCTCTGCTTTCAGCCAAGATCCATCTGACATCAGCAATGATATCCCTTGTTCCACATCCTCTTCTGAATACAGCTTGTATTTCTGGAAGTTCCCTGTCAATATACTGCTGCAAGCATTTTTGAATTATCTTCAGCAAAATTTTACTTGTGTGAGATACTGATGATATTTTGTGGATAACTTCCACATTCTATTGGATCACCTTTCTTTGGAATGGGTACAAATACGGATCTCTTCCAGTTAGGAGACCAGGTAGCTGTCTTCCAAATTTCTTGACATAGATGAGTGAGTGCCTCCAGAGTGGCATCCATTTGTTCAAACATCTCAATGGGTATTCCGTCAATTCCTGCACCTTACTTTTCACCAATCCCTTCAGTGCAGCTCAACCTCTTCCTTGAATACCATTGGTTCTTGATCATATGCCACCTCTTGAAATGGATGAACATTGACCCATACTTTTTTGTACCATGACTCTGTATTCCTTCCATCTTCTTTTGATGCTTCCTGCATCATTCAATATTCTGCCCATAGAAGCATTTAATATTGCAACTCAAAGCTTGATTTTTTTTCTTCAGAACTTTCAGCTTGAGAAATGCCGAGCATGTTCTTCCCTTTTGGTTTTCTAACTCCATATCTTTGCACATTTCATTATAATAATTGACTTTGTCTTCTCGAGCTGCTCTTTGAAATTTTCTGTTCAGCTTTTTTATCTTGTCATTTCTTCCATTTGCTTTAGCTACTCTCCGTTCAATGGCAAGTTTCAGAGTGTCCTCTGACATTCATTTTGTTTTTTTCTTCCTTTCCTGTCTTTTTAATGACCTTTTGCTTTCTTCATGTATGATGTTCTTGATGTCATCTCACAACTGGTCTGGTGTTTGGTCACTGGTGTTCAATGGGTCAAATCTACTTTTTGCCTAGGGCAGTCTTGCTGGCAGAGTGGGGTGCACATAGGTGCACCTATCGGCAGAGCTAAAAAAGCTTTGTAACACTTGCCTGAGCAGGGCGGAGGCCAGGCCAAAGGCCAAACACAGTCATGCCTGCGGGCATAGCAGAGGGGAGACTCTCCAGACTGAAGAATTGTATCCCGAGCATTCCTGAACCTGAGTTGTATAACCTGTTGCTTCCCTAATAAACTCCATAATCATGAGGATTGTCTGTAAGTTCCACGTGGCCATCACAATGAATTGCTGAACCCAGCAGAGAGGCAGTTAGTGCTGTGGGAGTGATGGCTGGTGTCAGAACTGGTAAAAGGCTGGAGGGTGGTAGTATGTCTGACTTGCACCTCACAGGACTCAGTCCTGGGCCTGTTGCTGGAGATGCTGGTCAGAGGTGGTCAAAGGGGGTGCCACCCAGTCCCTTGGTGCAGAGACAGAAGGCAATTAGAGGCAGGAGGGTGGGGCAAGGATGGGAAGGGTTGCTTACAGGGTACGGAGTGTGTGCTTGGGGGATGGACAGGGTTTTGGAAACGGATGGTGGGAAGGTTTGAATGTAGGTAATGTCATTGAACCACACACTTAAAAACAGTTGACGTGGCAACTTATTAAAAATAAAATGACATTTAAAGTATATTATTTACCAATAAAGCCATCTACTAGGATCAATTAAAGAGTTAAATAGAAACAATTCTTTTCTGAAGCATCACAAAATTCTCAAACATTACAGACCCGAGAAGTGCCAGGCACCAGGCAGCTGCCATAGACTCCCAGGTCCACACATGAGGCTCACCAAGTGGGGGACGTGCCACACCATTTGTCTTGCAGCCCATGTGACACGCGAACAAAGATGTCCATTCTGACTCACAGCGCCCCTAGAGGACAGAGTGGAACTGCCCCACAGGGTCTCCAAGGCTGTCAGTCTTTATGGGAGCAGATGGCCTCATCTTTCTCCCACAGAGCAGCTGGTGGGTGCAAACCGCCAACCTTTTGTTTAGCAGCCGAATGCTTTACCCACTGAGCCACCAGAGCTCCTCGACATGTCAGAGCAGTGGGAAAATACATTCCAGTGATCCTGGGGTGTGACCTACGGTATCCCCAATAACTCACATTTACTGCTGATGGGTTCAAGACCAGCTTACATCCAAACCAAATTAAGCAAGTCGTTGTGACAGCAAATGTGGACACAAATAACATCTGGAAGTTGGGAATCTGAAAAACAAGACGGGAGGTTTTGCCCTTGTGAGTAACTTATGAGATAAAGAAGTTCTAGATCCTTCAGCAAAACTCCAAGACCATGACACGCAGGAAGTGGCAGCCGGGTGTGTGTCCTGTGCGCTCAGAATGAGCGAGGGGGCGGTGGGCAGCCCGCAGTCTGGGGGCCGAAGTGGTTTTACCGTGGGGGGGCTGCTGCGGGCCAGCCCCCTGCACCCTCTTGATCACTTTGGCTGTGGAGCCATGCCCCCCCAGGCACAAATGTGCACACAGGTGAACACACTGACACACACACACACAGGTGCACACGCAGTGCATACACATATGTACCTATACACACGCACATACACATGCACGTACTCCCACATGCCTGGCAGCCCTGCAGGGGGCTGCCCACCTTCCCACCCACGCCCACTGATCCTGCCATCGAGGTCCTCCCTGTGGGCAGCAGGTCCACTTGGAGGCCACACAAGAAGGGTGGAACTCACCGCACTGACGCTTCTCCTTGAAACAGCAAAGCTCACGATGGCTGAGGGAAGGCACTGCAGAGAGACCAGAAAGCAGAGGGGACGTTAGTGACCTCAGAGCTGCTCACGCAGGTCCTCACCACGGCTTTACGTGCCGTGACGCTTCCGGAAACATCCACACCAGCCAGCAGTGTCCCCTCCTCTAGGCGCGAGGGGCCCTGCCAGACTCAGCCCACACGTCCCATGAGCCGTCAGTGAGGAAAGTCCTCCTGCCTGCGGAGTCTGAATGCAGCCTTGGCACAGGCCAGGGGTCATGGTGATGTGAGAATCACAGAAGAGGCAAGCAACCCCCTGTGAAGTCAGGGGAGCGGCTCCTTTCCCCTCAGGGGCTCCTGCCCAGGCCCCACCCCAAGGCGTGGCCAGGGAGGGCTAGTGTGGGGGCCGGCCAGGAGACATGGAACTTGGACAAGAGAGGACACATGAGAACAAGGGTAAGCAGGAACAGAGGAGGTGAGACCAGCCTGAGCTCTGGGTGGGGGTGGGGGCCCCACAGACAGTGGGTGGGGGTAGGGGCCTCACAGACACTGGCAGGGGGTGGGGGTGGAGGTGGGGCCCCTGAAGACAGTGGGTGGAAGTGGGTGGTCTACAGACACTGGCTGGGGTGACGGTGGAGGTAGGGGCCCCATAGACACTGGGTGGGGGTGAGGGAGCACCTGTAGATGCTGGGGGGGGGTTGGGGGGGCAGCGCCCCTGGGAGGAATCAGATGGAAGGCAGGAGGCAGGACTCCTAGCCTTGGGGCCTGAGCAAGGGACAGGAAAGGGCTGAGGGCAGGTGTGGGACACACAGGGACACCACAGCTCTGAGAAGAGCCTCTGGTGGAAGAGAGTGGCCGTCAGGGCTGCATGCAAGGCAGGAACCTGGACGACAGCTCCACTGCCCTCAGAGAGGCAGTTGAGGGGCCAAACCAGAAACCAGACTCACTGCCGTCAAGTCAATTCCCACTCACAGTGACCCCTCCTTGGGTTTCCGAGGCAGTATCTCTACAGAAGTAGATTGCCCAATCTTCTTTCCGAGGAGTGGCTGGGGTTTGAACCGCCAGCCTTCTGGTTAGCAGTGAAATGCCTTAGGCACTATGCCCCCAGAGCTCCTGGGTGAGGGGCAGGCAGGGTCAAGTGTGGGGCCCATGAGACTGAGCCCTCAGTGCCCCCTGACAGCACAAGAGGCATCACTGACCCCTGTGCTCAGACAGTGGCCGGGTTGGCACTGCCCACAGCAAACAGCAGTTGCTCACCACCCTGGGGGTCGCTCCAGTGCTGAAGACAGAAAGCCAAGGAGACACTTCTAGCCCAGCAGGACCTGGGTCCCCTTCTCTCAAGGAGTCATATTCCGAGGGGGCAGACAGGGCAACGTGGGGGTTACAGGAAGCAATTGCCCTGTTTGTCTTTTGCGCTGGTCCTCATCCAGGTACTGGCGTGTTATGGGACAGTTAAGAGCAGCATCTTTGTTCAGCGATGGGGAGGCCAGACAAGATGAATGCTGGGCAGGGTGGGGATGGGAGATAGGGGTTCTGGGGGCAGGCCAGGGGCTGGGAGGTGAGTGTGGGGACTGTGGTGTCAGGCCAACAGTCTAGGGCCTTAGAAGGGCAGAAAGCCCCCTCCCCAGCCCGGGGAGGCTGCCCTGGAAGGTGAGCCAGCCAGAGGACCCCGGTGTCAATGCACACACAAGACCCCTGGGGATGTGGCTCTGTGTGAGATAGCATGGGGACACTGGGGCGCAGGAGCTGCTGGCTGCTGCACAGTTGGACAGTCATGGTCCATCTCCTGGGATGGTCAGTGGGTCCCCCGTCCCTCTCCCCTAGCCCTGGCACTGGGTAAGATTTCAGAAACATAGCCCAAAGTTTGTGAGAAGCGAGCAGGTAGGTAGCAGGTGTGTAAAGCCCCCAAAGCACCAAAGAACCAGGCTGCAGTTCAGCAAGACTCATACTTGCTTCCTTGATAACTTTCAAAGTCATAAAGTCTACCTGGAGCTAGCATAGAAGGGGGGATTCGGGAGGGAGGAGATGGTGGCTGTAGAGTGAAGGGTTCAAGCCTCACGCGACAGGGGACGTCTGTGGGGGGCGAGGATGGAGAGGGGCTTACGGAGCCTGCAGCACAGCGCAGGTAGTCCATCTCCGAAGGAAACACGTTCCCCAGGTACAGCGAGAACCCCGAGGTGATCAGGAGGCAGCTCTGCAAAACAGCGGCCCCTTCGGGTTAAACATGAGCGTATCCACAGGTCACTGGTCAGCGAGAAACGACAGCCCCTTGACGACAGTGAGACCGGCCAGCTTCTCCAGCACCAACCTGCATCAGGACCATGCCTGAGTGCAGCTCCTGTGAAGGATGGCTGCAGGCCCTGCCACACTGTGGGCAACAGATGTGCTCCCCCGGGTGCCAGAGCAGGGGAGCGGAGTCCAATCATAGGGACACTGAAAATCTGAAGCAAGAAACGGCACCTCTGCCCCAGAAAATGCCCACACTGCAACATGGGCAGTGTCGGGGCCTCAGGGATCCCTCCAGACAGCCTGCCCCACTCCCTCTGCAGAAGCGACCCCTCCAAGCAGATGCCAGGTGCACCCCAGGCCATCAGGTGAGCTGGGCTACCCCTGCCCTCTGCTCAGACCTGCCCGGCCTCCAGCCTCCGCCTCTGCCCACCATAGTCCACTCTCCACACAGCAGTGAGGGCCCCCTCTCATGCAGCCCCCACAGCCTACAAGGCCCTGCACTGGACCTCTGCCTCTCTGGCTATGTTTCCACCAGTCCCCTCGTCCCTCAGACCAAGGAATGGCCGCTCCTGTCCTGGGGCCTTTGCACAGCCACTGCTGCTCAAACTGTTCTCTCCAGACAGCGGCAGCCCTCCCCCTCACATCCATCAGGTCTTTGCTCTTCCCAACGAAGCTCCCTGACCACCCCACCCCGCACGCTCCCCCACACGCTGGAGCTCCCTGACCCCTCACTTGTGCCTCGGCGTTTATGGTCTTCGAGAGCCCAGACAGCATAGGGCATTGTGTCAATTTCATCAGAGCTCTGTGGTGCATTTCCGCTGGTGGCCTGGGGAGCAGGCATACAAAAATCCAGGTGCTGCCACCTGCAGTGCTGCACACACACACGAGCTACAGGCCTGTGCATCGACCATGTACATGTGCTAACCACATGTATGTGCACTAGCCACACACACGTACCCTGGCCACATGCACATGGACCATCCACATGCATGAGCACCAGCTACACACAGGCACACAGGCCATACACACATGCACTAGCCGGGCACTTGCACATTAACCACCCACATGTACACTAGCTATAGACATGCACTGTCTGTAAGCACACACATCAGCCACACACATGCACACTAACCACACACACATACACTAGCCACACACATGTAGTAACCACACACATGCACTAGTCCAATACACATATACCAGCCACACATATACACACCCGCCTATGCAGGTGTACCAGCTACACATATGTACACAGGCCACATGCACAAGCCAGGCACATGCACACTAACCACATATCCGTACACTAGCTGCAAGCACAAACACTGGCCACATGCATGTGCAGAAGCCACACAACGTGTTTCAGCCACATACACACATACAAGCATATCGAAACTAACTATACATGTGCTAACCACATACCTGAACACAAATCACACAAATATGCACTACCCATATGCATTCACACCACCCACACATGTGTACTAGCAATACACCCACACACTAACCACACATGTGCACTAGCCACGTGCTTGAACCTTAACCACACACATGCAGTAGCCACAGGCATGCACTAGCCACATGCACACACACTAACCATACATGTGTGCACTAGCCACACACATGCACACTAACCACACCCATGTCCTAGCCACGTGCACACACACTCACCACACACATGCACACTAACCACAAATATGCACTAGCCACACACCTGAACACTAACTACACACATATGTACACAAACTACACACGTGCACCAGCCATGCACATGCACACTAACCACACGTGTGCACTAGCCACGTGCACACATACTAACCACACATTTGTGCATTGGCCATATGCACACATACTAACTACACACATGTGTGTACCCACTAACCACACACGTGTGCACTAGTTATGCCCAGGAATGCTCCCCAAAGCAGCACAAGGTCAGGACAGTAAATACGGATGAGTTAAGGAAAACAATTTCCAGAACAAAACGAGCATGTGTCATCCCTGATGAGAATCACAAGATCTGCAGGCCCTCCTGGAGCTCCACGGTGTGGCCCAGTGAGGAAGCATGCAGCAGGGTCGCACATCAAGCCACTCACTCCCATCAGCACAGAGAAGACCCAGGTCTTGTAGCTAAAGCAGGGCGGGAGCCTCTTGGAGAGCTGAAGGTCATTGGTCTTGGCGTCGGGGCTACAGCTTGGGCCGTCCGGCCTGCCCCGCTCCAGGGTGGGCATCCGGTCATAGCTGAACTCCTCGTGGTAAGGCTCCTCCCGTGTCATGGTGCTGGCGAGAGCTGGCACTGCTGCAGGGACATGAGCACTGCGACCACTTAGTTACAATGCTAACATTTACCCTCGACCACGCCGGAAGCAATGCCGGCAAGATTACATCGTCATTCCAACAAGTACTTTTACATACACGTGTGTGTGTGCGTGCGTGTGTGTGCGTGCATGTGTGTGATGTATGTACACATACACGCACACAGCCATGGAAACAGACACACCCAAACGTCCATTGACACCGCTCTGGGACTCACAACTCAATGACACGGACCACACCTTTCATGTTGGGGCTCCATTCTCTCTAGCCGCTTCCAAAACAGTTCCCCCTATAACAAACCCAACACCCTAAACATTTCTCCCTCCCCTGGCTCCGGGACAACAAATTTTTAAAAAGAAGTATTGTCCCTCCCAAAATGCCATCAATTTGCAGGAGGAAATGGACGCCCAATGTGAGCAGTGAGCAGAAGCCCTTCCCAGCGAAGCCCGCCTGCTGGTCTCAGTTCAGGGCCGACTTAGAGCTCAGTGCTTCCTTTGTCCGGGCCTCAGGCACAATGCCTGTCAACTGCCACCTCCACAAGCAACCTCACTGGAAAAGTCCACGCCCTGGGGCTGCTCCAGGTTTTGTAAGTGCCTCGCCAGACCCAAGGTGGCAAGCAGGCACTCCTCAGGGCCCAACACCTGCAAGCTTACCTTCGTGGTTTCGGCTCGGAGAGCTGCTCTCTGGCTGAGGGCTCGTGGTTACCAAGCCACCCTGCCCTTGGCGTCCCGCTGGCACTATTCGCAAATAGAACAAAAGCCCGGGCAAACTGCACTTAGCCAGGGGGTGGAGGGCTGTCTCCGGAATCCTAATGAGGAGCTGAAGCTGACAGTGCCCCGAGCCCCAGGCAAAGAAATTTCTGCTGGTTCTGTAGCTGCTAGCTTGGGTTGCTCACTGCCCTCTCGTGGAAACTGTCCCAGGGACCTGCTCAGGCCTGCTTACTAGCACCAGGTGGTCCACCATAACAAAGGTGAGCCCAGCCACAAAGGCCACGGGTACAAGGCCCCCACAGGCCAGAGTGCCAGAGCCCAGCTCAGTTAGGAGCCCGTGGCTTTGTACCAAAGATTCTAACTCTGCCATGTACCGGAGCAGCCTTCTTCCACCCCCAGTGACCGTGACGAGGACAGGAGCCTTCAGAGAGCATGGAAACCTTTGTGGCACGGCCTTGCTGCTCAGCATTCCAGAGGGCAGCCCCAGTGGTTGGCAGCCTGGTGGCTGGCTGGCACAGCCCACTGCATCCTTTCTCTGGTCAATAAGCAGAGAGAAAGGAGGACTGCGTTCCACCCAGACGCTGGCGCCCTGGCCGCTGCGACTCTGCTGTGCACACTGTGACTACAAAACAGCTCACAGCAAAGTTTTCCGGAAAAACCAGCTCCCAGGCCATGAGCCCCTAGGCAACTTCAGCAAATGAACTGGTGTGCTGGCATGTCATGTCTCCCCAAGCAAGAAGCGTTAGCACCAACGGCCACAGTCGACAACCTGCTAAGAGTTATTCTGGATGGGTTGAGAAACTCTCCAAACTTGGATATGCAAGGCTTGGCAGCAAGGAGCCCAGCTACCATGGATTGGTCCCACCACACAGACCTCTTCGCCATCACCTTTCATTCGAAGAAGAAATATGGTTAAATGAGCTTCACAACTCTTGTGCCTTCAAAAAGTTGTTCTCTAGGAGAAATTAAAGCCATTGCCTTGAATGAGAGACTATAGATCAAACTCCTCAAGCCGTAAACTCAGTCACGTGAGAAAACTTACTTGTTGCTCCTGGCAACTGCAGCTTTCAGAACAAGTCCTGTGCTTTCATGCTCTCTTCAAACTGCTGTCCAGTCGGCGCCGATGCCTGGTGACAGTGTGTGTAGTAGAGTGAGACGATGCCTGGTCCCACACCATCTCCCCTAAAACACCCTCACTCCCTTCTCTGCCTGCTGAGATGTTTCTCAGACTGTTCAGCCAAAACTGAGCAGAATCTAATAGGGATACAGGAGCACATGAGGTAACAAAATGTGTGTGTTGTGTGGTGTTTGGGTCCAATTACGTCCCCCAATAAGAGATGTGGAAGTCCTACCCACTGCCCTGTGAACATGACCTTCGCCAGAAGCAGTATTCAAAGGTGTTCTTACCTTGAATGGGACATGAGGTCATACTGGAGCAGGGTATGTTCTAAACCCACATGCAAAAGAGGAGAGACACAGAGGGGGACAAAGAGACACAGAGGTACACAGAGGGAGGCAAAGAGACACATCTGTCAGTCTGTCAGACTATGGTGGCGTGTGTGTATGTGTGCACACAAACCAAGAAATTTGGAAGACAGCTATCTGACCAACTGACTGGAAGTGACCCATATTTGTACCCATTCCAAAGAAAGGTGATCCCACAGAATGTGGAAATTACTGAACAATGTCATTAGTATCACATGCAATTAAAATTTTGCTGAAGATAATTCAAAAATGGTTGCAGCAGTATATTGACAGGGATCTGCCAGAAACTCAAGCTGGATTCAGAAGAGGACGTGGAATGAGGGATATCATTGCTGACATCAATGGATCTTGGATGAAAGCAAAGAACACCAGAAAGATGTTTACTCATGCTTTATCAACTATGCAAAGGCTTTGGATCGTGTGGATCATAATAAATTATGGATAACATCGAGAAGAATGGAACTCCAGAACACTTAATTGTGCTCATAAGGAACCTGTACATAGACCAGGAGGCAGTCATTTGAACAGAACGAGCGGATACCACACGGTTTAAAATCAGGAAAGTTGTGCATCAGGAATGCATTTTTTCACCATACTTATTCAGTCTATATGTTGAGCAAATAATCCGAGAAGCTGGACTATATGAAGAATGCAGCATCAGAATCGGAGGAAGAATGATTAAGAACCTGTGATAAGCAGATGACACAACCTCACCTGCCGAAAGTGAAGAAGACTTGAAGCACTTACTGATGAAGATCGAAGACTACAGTCTGCAGTATGGATTACACCTCAACATAAAGAAAACTAAAATCCTCACAATGTAAGTGGACCAATAAGCAAATGATGATAAATGGAGAAAAGACTTAGGTTGTCAAGTATTTCATTTTAGTTGGATCCTCAATCCAACTAAAAGCTTATAGACTGAGACAGATTAGGAAGAAGGAAGAGGCTGTCCACTTCTCAAATACTTGGCCAGGGAAAACCTTATGAATAGCAAAGAAACACTGCTTGGTACATTACCGTGCACCTTCAGGAATAGTCCGTTTAGGCTAAAAGGCTCGCAAAATAGAGCTGGGAAAGAGCTGCAACATCTGAGTAAACCCAGCCTTACTCATATGCATAAGGTAAAGCTTTCGAGACCTCCCTATGCTGATGTGGCACCACTCAAATTGAAGAGAAACAGCC